ACTACGTGTGATGGAAAACCAATATAGCCCCAGAGGGAGATCAAAGATAACACAGAGCTTGACCCCTTCCCACATCCTGCACAGAGCACATCTTATCATACTCCCTTGAGGCACTACAGTAGCCCTGTTTAATGGCAGCACAATTCAAAGCACTCTGACTTGCTCTGATTGTATATTTCTGGTGGAAAACAGAAAAAAATAAATCTAAGATGTTTGAGAGAGCTCATTTCACAGCAATATATTTTGACATTGCAAAAAAAAAAACATTTTCCACAGAAAATTCCCAACCAGTGTCTCCAGCATGACTAAATTTATTCTGCTAGTCTATAACAGTGAGCAGCACTTGCTTCTGCCAAGAAAAGTGCAGAAATCCTATTAGGACAGGGTAACCAGGCATCATATTTTTCCCCAACTGCCACTGCTCAGCTCACATGGCACCTAGCATGGAGGCTAGTGTCATTTCTGGATTCTTTTACAAAACTTAAGCACAGCTCTTCCATCCTTGTTAACTACCTGGTTTGCTTCATAGGCACTAACAACAGGTGCTGTTCATAACTGTCCTCTCAGGTGGAGCTGTTTTTGAGAACTCCCTGTTGCCTCCAGAAAGGGCCTTGAAGCTTTAGCTTACTGCCACTTCTACAGGCAGTGGATGGCACAGGCTTTATGACCAGCCCCAAATGCTCCCTCCCAGGGAAAGATGTTACTGTTGATTCACACACACACTAAACTCTCCAAATATAATGAGTACAAACTTTTTCTCTCATGACAGATTTCTCTCTACTACAATTCTGTTGTAGTAGAGCTCTATTAAGCTATCTGATGTTAAAGGGAAAAGAAGCTGAATGCAGGAAAATGTAGTGAATACATGCACTACCTTTCAGGGGGGCTGGAATAGCAAAGATTGCTGTTAAACAGGCCTTGTTGCGTTCTGGGAAAAATCATTAAGCCTTGATTGATTCCTCACTTTTGTCTGCATAGAACTGGCTTAGCCACATTTTAAGCAATGGATTTCAGCAGATAATATTTGTGTGGCTCTTCAAGTCTCTGCCCAAACTGCAGGGAGAAGCCTAGTGGCTGGGAAGGGAGAGGGACTTTGCTGCCCTCACCCTAGGCTCCACATGTACTTCACATGGGAAAGGGGCATTGCAAAGCTAACACTCTGCCTAGTGTATCAATGTAAAGCACCCAGGTCTGTTTGGTTTAAATTTTATTAAGGACACAATTTTCTGCTCTCTGTGGGAGAACACAGACTGGGGCTGTTAAATCCAAGTCTCATCTCTGCCAGACAGAGAAGCTCCATCAAGTTGTGAATGGGATTTTCAAACACAGTTGGAGAGCACAGATTTATCCGCCTTCATGCTGGAAGACCTGCAGCATGTGCTGCATTGCAGACATAGGCCTACATTGCAGCGCCAATATGTCGCACTGTGTTGTGCACGTGCTTCCTCATGGCTTGTGTTAGGACTGATCCTGAATACAGAAAACACAGTGTTCATCTGAAAAGCAATTCTTGATAGCTGCCAACTTGAGACAGTCTCTCACTGCGACCCCTAGTTTGGCCATCTAAATGGCTGTTTAGCAGCTCTAACCCTCTGCAACTTCCCCTGTTGAGCTCATATCACACAACTTCCCACCTCTGAGACAACCTCTTGCCTCTTTTCAAAGAAACAGTGGCTTGCTTCCTTCAGGGTGGCTCTAAGGGAGGGAAAGCATCTGTAATCAGCAACTGTAAGCGTTCTCATCCATGAACTAGATAGAGACTTGCTAACTACTCTTAGTTGATTGCTGTGGTAGCTGGTGTCTAACAGAGTTCACAAGTTCATTTGGTGAGTGTTTTCCATGGACCTCTTGCACAACTGATTCTAGTCCACCGCAGGAACCTCCAGCACTGCTGAAACTCAAGCATTTAGCAGCACTGACCCCGAGATTAGCTCAGCTGGTTAGAGCATGGTGCTAATAACACCGAGGTTGTGGGTTTGATCCCCGTATGGGCCATTCACTTAAGAGCTGGACGCAGTGATCCTTGTGGGTCCCTTCCAACTCAGAACATTCTGTGATTAACTGTCCGCCTAAGCCTGTGGCTCTGCCCAGGCAGTTTCCAAAGTTATAAGACATATTTAACTAGGTCAGTCTCCAAACAGGACCCCAGCCAGCTAACAGAACTAATGCTTCTGTGCTCTTCAGATGGAGAGCATAGGAGGTTTGTTAATGTTAAAATTACTAAAATAGCCTCAAGGTAAAACATGGAGGGGTATTAACATACGACCCATCCTATAAATAACCCACAGTGCAATCTATAGGCAATATCTGCACAGCAGCTGACAGTGTTGCTGGCAGATAAACTGAATGATGTCACAGTTGTACTCCTCAGCCCAGCCAGTAATTTCTTCTTCACTTCTCTCCTCTCTTCTCTTCTCAAGAAATGTATGGTAACCAGATTATCTTCAAGTCTTCCAGACTCCTTTCATATTTAATGGAAATTCAGAAGTTATTGCTGGTATTAAAAAACAGATGCAACTGCATGAGCCTTGATCCCTTTGAAAAATCAGTTACTTCTGCAGTGGAGGCACAGGTGGGGTGTGCTGGTGAGCTACAGAACACCTGGCAGAAAAGGCAAGGGAGTATCAGACAAATTCTCTGCTTTGAGGTCAACTCACCAATTTCTCCTATTCATCCTACTGTTAGTGAGTACACAGACACATATTCACAACTGTGTGAATATTCACATATTCACACTGCTGACTTTATGCTACATAGGGACATATGCTCTGTACCATCTTCCTCTTCCCATATACCTCATCAAACTTGTTCAGCCACATACCTGCTCAGAAGGGTTTCAAGCATTCTGTGGCTTGTCCGGGTTACCCTGTACTGTAAAGCTGCTGCTATATGAACAGTATGGTTTTCCACTTACAAAAGGTGGGCTAGTGAGGTGTTCCTGCTGTAGGAGCAGCTGAGTCCTCACCTCAGTTGTTTATCCCAGTCCTTCTTTCTTGAATTGTCTTTCGGCATCTGCAAAGTGCAGGTCTTGAGTGTGGAAGATGTCATACCCCTTTCTTTCAAGTTTAGGGCTTAAAAACTGAAAATTAAATATTGTGGTTTGCATTTACAGCAGTATAATTCCAACGGGATCCCTTGCAGATCCAGTTGGCATTATTCTAGGAAGCCATGGTAGCAACTGCTTGGTTGTGCTGTGTGGAAGAAGGTCTGGCCTTGAATAACTAAAGGAAAAAGTGATGATGAAGAAGTCCCCGTCATGCACCAAATGTCATGAAAATCAAATATCAATACTGTGGATTTTGCTTCTTCAGTAAAAAGGAGAATATAATTATATCCTTGGTTTATGGATAATAGAAGTATGGTGGGGTTTTTTTATTTTAATCGAAAAAGTCCTCACAGTTACCCACTGTTTCCAAAGCCTCTAGTAACTCACACTAACAGTGAGAGAAAGAAGGTAATGACCCTGCAAATTCCCTTGCAGAAAGAGAGCAGGCTTGGTATAAACTTGCAACAAACATCTCCTACTCACACAAAAAAACAAACACGAGGGTTCTCATGTGTGTGCAAGACTTTTAAGGCCTATATAATCCAGCTCGATGCAGAAAGATCACAAGTTTGATTTAGACTGGCTCAGGACTAGCTATTTGATTAAAGCAAATGCTCTGTTTACCCTGGGATAATCAGTGAGTCTTTCCTTGCCCACTTATCCTCTCCCTGTTCAGGATGTCTGCTCACACAGGAAACAATCACATAATGGGAAATTTAGCGAGTGGAAACTACTCCACAGAGTGCCCTACATGCCCTGTTCTGGAGTGCAGGAAGTGAACTACACATGCGTTCCAGGGAAAGTGGATGAAATTCCTATCAGTGACCTTGAAGGACCTTCAATGATAAGAGTATCTGACTCATTTTCTGAGGTTTGATGTCAGACAAGACATCATGCTCCTCCATTCCTCCTGCAGATGGATTTGGGGCAAGAGCAGTATCTTAGGAAATGATACCTGTTTGGAATGAGACATCACAAAGGGACAATAGTCCCAGTCTCCAGTCACAAATTTTTCCACAGCACAAAAATTCCCAAGGAAAAAAACAAGTATATCCATATAGAGGAGTTTGCTGTTGTTTGTCTGTTATTGGGGGGAGTTTTTTGGTGGAATTTTTGATGTTATGTTCTTTGTGCTTTTTACATAATAGTACTCAGCACTATTAATACTACTACTCATTAGTGAGCACTCTGTTACTTCCTAGGAGAAAAGAACAGGAGAAATTTCCTCAACAAAATCATAAAAGGGGCAATAGAAAAATACAAAACTTGATGTGGAGGAGCTATAAATGATCGATTTTATGGAAAGAAGGGGAGAGGGAAGAAGGCAGGGAGAATGTCCTCCGAAGAGGGAGACTGGGCTCCAGCACCGGGAATTACCGCCTGGTGCCCTCTAGTGCCATCACCGAATTAAGGTGGCCGTGCAACTCCACAGCTACACAGCACCACAGCTCCGTGCACGTCAGCGCACGCATTACCTCTGCTAGTCACCATCCCCACTCACACCAAACACTGTCAAAGGGCTGCTCGTGGTGCCCCAGGCGCTTGTTTAAAGTGAGGAAGGAATCTGCACTCCAGAAAGATCCCCCCAAATCACTCACAGTAGGCCCCTTTCAACTCAAATCAAAAGGCCACTGTGAACACACCAGGAAGCAAAAGGAGATGCAATGGAGGTCCCGCAGGACCTGAACCCCTTTCTGGTGCATCACATGGTAGGGATCTGGTGACGAGGGTCCCAACCACATCTTTCTTGCATGTTAGAGGACCAGACAATAGGCTTAAGAAGACACTCTTCCAGAATCTCTCCGTGAGGTAGAAACTGTAGAGCACAGTTCTTCAGGAGAAAGGGAGGCCTGAAAATACTTGATTGAGTCTCCACCTGTGTCGCAGTCATGGGACAGGCTACTATGTCAGCTCTAAAAAAAAAAAAAAAAAAAAAAAAAAAAAAGAGGAGGAGGAGACAAAACCCTCTCAATATTGTCCTTCTCATTCCTATCTCAGTGTTTTCCGCAGGGTTTGGAGTCTGATTCAGCAGACTGTGCAAGAAGGGCTGACGATAAATATGACACACCATGTTTTCCCCTTTCTTTCCTGGTGGGACATTTCAATAGAGTGTTTACTAATCCCTTCCTACAAGGAAACTCTAAGATTATTTTCCTCAAGCCTCTTATACACCATGCACATTGCCCTGCATTAGGACCTTACTTGAGGCAGCCTTTGGTCAAAAAAGAGCAGGATTCATTGTCGGGGCAAGTGAAAGGCAACCATCACCTTCCTGTTCACCTGTGATAGGAGGAATAGAAACATTACTCACAGCATTCCGGTATTCTCAAATAATCTTAGAGAAGTCATAGAGAATTAGATAATAGATGTATCTCAAGCAAACAAGATTGGACTTTGTTTCTGCTGCTTTTAAGTATCACCTGAAGCAAACGCACACACACAGACTGAGGTCCACCCCTCTAAGCCCTTCAGTGAGACAATAGTTCATCTCCTGGTCTCCTGAATCTGTCAGATGGTTATTTCAGATGGACCACAAATCTGGCAGCTAAGCCTTTTCCCCAGTTTTTCAAGCTTCTCAGCATGGGCCAACACTGCCTAGAGAGCAACTCTCTGGAAATCAAATACTGACACTGGGGAATCCAACCCTAGAACTGAAAAGCTCTGCAAGGCAGAGAGACAAAATACCCCTCTCCTCATGTTTCCCTTGGTTTCTGGAGAGCACCTAGAGAAAACCTCCTCATCTCTGAACCTAACACAGCCCTTTCCTACTGTCATAACGCCTTCTGTAAATGTAGGGTACGATGTTCTCCTCTACCATCAAAACCAAAATCTTCTTCCTGCCAGCTTTGCTCCACTCAGTCCTCTTGGGTAGATAGCCCTAAAACTTTTGTGTGTCTTTCACCCAAACCCCACATCTCCACATCAGGAGAAGTAAGACACTGGACTCATCATCTCTGTCAGGCTTCTCCACATGCACATGCACATATACAAGCCAAGACCTACATCCACAGGGCTCACTGCCCATTTCTTAGGGATTAAGTTTCCCCCTCAAAGCACATGACTCTTACACTCCTCACCCCCACACCATTTCCTAGTATTAGGTCACACATATCTGCCTATGCTTCTGCAAAACCCCTGAGGATCACAAAGCAAAAGTCCCTGTCTAATGCAAGGCTGGTGCTGCTATCACCAAGCCAGAGCTTTGTGGCTGGGCTTCGATGTATGTGGTCATCAGCAGGAGGCAGATGATCTACGTCAGAGCTGTGATGACTCAGGGGGTTTTAGGGTGATTTTTTTCTTTCCCCCACAGCCAATAAGAGCATTCACAGAGGCATATCTTCTCCAGCAGGAAGTAGGGCAGTCACTCCCCTGTCTGCCAGGCTCCTATGAAGTGGTGGAGATGGCAGCGAACTTCATCTACAGTTGTATTGTACTTTGCTGCTTAACAATCTGGAGCTTCAACAGGACTTCATGTGGTAAGAGTAAAAAATAATTGCTTTTGTCCTTGTGTTTTAGGTTCTGTGAGTGCTGCTACCTAATGCACTGGTCAATAACAGCCCTTCTCCAACTGCTGCCCATGCTGGCTCAGCACTGCAGGGTTGAGACTGCAGCTGAAAATCCAACTGCTTAAAAGACTTTCCTTGTAGTTAAGCATGCTATCTCCATGGATATCATTTAGGGATTTTAAAGTCAACGGTTTTAACTCTGTGTGACCTTAAATACTAAATCTAAAGATTGTGGGTAACAACTTGATTGCTAGGTACAGATGGGCACTTGAGTGCCGATTAGCTGACTTTAATGAAGCATTATTCTGTATCATTTCTTTCTTTGCTGAGCAAGGAAACTTAATTGCAGCTGCCCTTAAATCTTTAAAATGGGAGCTGCAGGCAGGAGTGTTTTTCTCTGAAGGTTTTAGTTCTACTTCAGTTTCACTTTCCCTCCCATATACTGAAAATACTGATGCACTCGGGGATGGTATTTGGTTAGCCAGTAGATTTTTGTTTCTGCTGTGGTTTCCCTTAGGTGTTGCAGAGGCATGCAGGGACTCTGCTGCATCTTAAGTGTAAAGATAAGGCCTAGCCTTGCTTCTAGTAATGAGGAAGAGGTTTTGAAAGCACCTTATGGAAAAAAAAAATCAACCTGTTTCAATCTGCCTATTTGTTTCACTGCGGGCTGGGAGGGAGCATCTACAGGATTGCTCTCTCATACTGCAGAAACGAGGTCCTGAAAGTATTACTTAAGGAAGAAAGCACAAAAGAGGTCCTCTTAATACAACATTCAGCTCATCTCTGCAAGAACAGTCCTCACTTCCTTGTTAAGTTTGAGCAAGAAAAGAATCTAACCCTACCATTATCCAAGAGGAGGAGCAGGAAGAGGGCTGGCTTCTCTCTCTTTCTCTCTCTCTTCACATTTATAAATCCAGAAGCAATGATGGGGTCTGAAATATGTATGCTCTGGCCCTAAGCATCTCCTGGTAGACCCACAAGAGTTTTCTGCCCAAGTCATGAGATCACATCCTCTGGGCCTCTAAGTATTGTAGGTGCCTGGGCAGGTCATGCAGTGTCTCTGCTCCTGCCCAGGACTCGATTACAATTGTTTCAGCAATGCTGGTATGCCTAGAGCCCTGCACTGCTATCTGACCCTCTGAGCCATTCTGCCTTGTGCCTGGAGCTGGGCCATCACCTTACACAAATTCAACTTTTTAAGGTAATGGCACTCAAGGGCCAAGCTAGGGAAGAAACAGACAGAAAAGGTTGCAGAGAGTACAGGTGCCTCACATCAGAGAGTTTCTGAGTTTTGGAAATATAGTACTGCAAACTATTTCAAACAGTAAAAGTGATTTCAGTCCAGTGTGTGTGCCATGCAGTGACCATCCTGAATGAGAAGCAAAGCACATAAAGAAAACTGAATCCTAACCTTAAGGAATCTGAGTCATCGAAGGAAAATAGGAGGGTAAAGATCTCCAGGTGATGCATTTCAGACATGTAGCCACATGTGACACTGATCAATCTACCAGGCACTGGAGTCAGGAACAAGGTCACTTTGGACTCTGACTTTTGGTTTGAGTAACACATGTGATAGTTTTCTTCCTATAAAGTGTAATTTCAGCCAGTCTCACTCACCCTAGCACCCCATGCCTGTAAAAGACATCACCATGACTCAAGAGGTGTTGAGGGCTCTCAAAAGCCACAAAAGGACCTTGTGTTAAGACTGAAAAAGCCTGTGATTTCTTCTACAAAGAAGAGTATCTGATGTTAACACCCCCATCACTGCCACACCTGACCTTCCAACAGGTGTGAAAGCATAGATTCAAGCAAGGTCCTGGTGAGCAGCAAGAAGAACCCAGGGCAGTGACCTGCTTTTAGCTTGGCAGACTATTTCAGTTGCTAGGTGAGCTCAGGATAAAACTGATTCCTATAAGCTGTTGGGTTGGTATTGATGGCACAGGAAAAAGCATGGCATTCCTGAGGGAAAGGACAGCTGGCCTTATGGACAAACCAAAGCCTGGCTCTACCTCAAACTTCCTTTCTGACTTGAGGCAGGTCCTGCATGACCCTCTTGAATCACCTGTGGATCCTAGTGCCTTAACCCCCTTTGACAACTGGGTAAGATGTGCTTACTTAAGAAATACCTTCAGTCCAAGGCTCCATGGTCATGAGCTTCTGTGACTCTTGAATCCCATCCTTGCTACAGTGGGAAAATACCATCCCATAGAGAATAATCTTGGGACCCACCGGTGGATTCTGGATTATTAGGTGAAAAACCACCACCAGATTGCCCAGCAATGGCTGCACACCCAGTCCCAACATAGATCAGAGACATGGGATAGGAAAGTTCATCACCTCCACACCAAACACAAAGCCACGTGGAGAACATCTGCTCCTTTCAAACACATGGTCTCTCAGCTCCCATCTGCAAGAAAACATGGAAGTCATTAAGGTAGCTGTGGTATCAACCAGGAAGAGATATGAATTTGGACATCCTTGGGTTGAGGAGGGATGTAGAACTGAGTCTTTTCAGGTCAAGATGTAAATCCTTGAACAGTGTTGCAAGTAGGTGCAGCAATTAACACCTGTGGAGGAAGATGTGACAGTGTAACTAGGACATATATAAGCAACCTGTAAGATAAATTTTTGCAAATTTCTATGCTGATGATGACATGTAATGCTGGTTTGGTTTGTTTTTTTTTTTTTAAATAATCTATTTTTTAAATAGATCACCAAGTTGACCCTGTCTTCTACTTAGGTTTCTCAGTGCAAATTGGCTTAGAGTCTATGCTCTGTGTAACTGGCTGTGAGTGAGTAATCTATTTGTGAAAAACCACTAGAGGTGATAAAAAGCTTGACTTTCACAACAGATTCAGTACAAGTTCTGTGTGCACAGGCTCACTGCCTGCACAAACACAGCATGAACTTGAGCATCATCTCCTGCACTGGCAGGTCTTAGCATTAGCAGCGGCTCACGGTGCCTTGTGCAGGCTGAGGATTTTTTACTCTTCTTTGATTTCAGAAGTGGGAAAATGGAAAATGGAGAGGAAGCCAAATGTAAAAGGGGATGAAATAATGATATCAACTGTAAGCTTCCAGCTTCTTTTCAATTATTGAAAAATAAGCAGGGCATGGGGAAATAGCTACACAACCAAGTAAAAATATACAGTAAATGATTCTATGAAGTGCTCTAATGTGAAAGGCAATGGGTTAACCTTCACACCCCCCAACTTCCATTTCTTCCACAACTTGTTTCTCCACTTCATGACCTTGATAATCATAGAATGGTTTGGGTTGGAAGGGACCTTAAAGATAATCTATTCCAAACACCCTGTCATGGGCAGGAACACCCTCCACTAGACCAGGTTGCTCAAAGTCCCATCCAGCCTAGCCTTGAACACTTCCAGGGATGGGGTATCCACAACTTCTCTGGGCAACATGTTCCAATGTCTTATCACCCTTTCAGTGAAGAATTTCTTCCTAATATCTAATCTAAACCTGCCCTCTGCCAGTTTAAAGCCATTACCCCTTCTCCTGTCACTACATGCCATTGTCAGAAGTCCTTCTCCATGTCTCTTGTAGGCTCCCTTCAGGTACTGAAAGGCTGCAATAAGGTCACCTAAGAACCTTCTCCAGGCTGAACAATCCCAATTCTCTCAGCTTTTCCTCATAGGAAAGGTGCTCCATCCTCTAATCATCTTCATGGCCCTCTTCTGGACTTGCTCCAACATGTCTATGTCCTTCTTATGCTGGAGGCCCCAGAGCTTGATGAAGTATTCCATGTGGGATCTTGACATTGACAGAAGATGGTCCCTGACATTTGGGTCGGGGCAACAGCACTTCAATTCTCAAAGCAGCTCATTTTACAGTGAGGAACTAGTCCAAGTTCTGCCCCAGGCCCTTCCCTGCCCAGCTGGAGAAGAGGGACACTCTGTCTTTTGTCAGTATATACCATGAGGGCATCTTCCCCTCACCTTGATCACTATCTAAATGCTTCTAACATAAAAACCTCAAGATGCTATCAAAGGCTTAAGGGTGGTGTGGGTGAGAAAGAACTTATATCTGCAAGATAAGATATGCAAACTAAGAGCAGCAGGGCTCTCTAGCCAGTGTTTGATATGTTATCAAAACTATATTGTACTCAGAACAACCTGATCTATCTTTATAAGTAGATTCAAAGTCAGTCCTTCTATAAACTGGGAGTTGTACCAGAGACCTTTTAAATAAATATTAGTGATACTCTGGCTTCTTCTAAGTCAGTTTGAGCTCTGCTATCACTTCTGGCAGCAGCTTTTTATGTCACTTCATTCCACCGGATTCTTTCACCATTTCAAACATAAAAAGGAAAATTACTTTTAATGAATGTGAGCAGAGTCCTTCTGAAGCACAAAAAGCATTGGACAGGTAAGAACATTAAGAGGGCTAAAGGTCCCACCCTTTCAGGCACTTGATGTATTTTACAGTCATGTTTCGTGTTGTTTCAGATATACATGTACCACCACCTCATTCAACCATGAAACCTGGCTCCCCTATCCCAGCGAACATCAACAGCCCTGGTGTTCGCAAAGCAGCTCGCTTTGGGGTTTATAGATACAACAACGGTTCCAATGACCTCTTTCTGTTTAAGGATTCACGAATAAACAAAGCCATGGTACAGGTAAGAAGAGCACACTTCTGGAGGTCCTTCAACCCATTTTCTAATTGACCCTCCTATGGCACACCCAAGACATGGCAGCCCTGATCCTCCTCAGGACTGCTATGAATGCCTAAAGCTGTCCCTCTATCGCCCTGCTACACAGGAGGGCTCTGTGTAGGTGACACACAATTTTCAGATGTAGCACTTGATTCCTAGCCAAAATTTTGGCATCTCTTTCCCCTGCCCTTACTTTAAAGGAGGAAACTACTTTCTCTAGATTGTCAGAGGGCTGAAATACATGCTCCATGTGGAAATCAAACGCACTGTGTGTGAGAAGAGGGAGCACTCCAGCCTGGACAGCTGTCACTTCCAGAGGGAAAAAAACCTGCAACAGGTGTGTCCAATTCCTTTGGGGTATTCAATAACTGCTGGAGTGATTCTTGAGTTGAACTGGACACATCCACCTAACCCATATCCCTGGGTGAACGTGTGCAGAAATACAGTAGGTGCTAGAGGTTTTCTAGGTGGGGGAAATCCTTACACAGGCTTTCCTGCTAGACATGATTACTTAGCAAACAGTACTCTTCCTGGGATAAAGTGGGCAGACAAAAAGATGCTCTCCTCTCCTGCCCCATCATGGCCCACAATGCTGAGACCAACCCGCAGACACCTGAACTTTCTCACCAATTTTCTATTTATTTGCAGACGCTGAGATGCTATTTTGAGGTCTGGATAACACCTTGGTTACAGAAAGTACATGTCCCTGTTGTCCACTGTCACCAACAGCTTTCCCCATGAGACCCTGACTTACAGGGGATCTACCACCATGTGTTTTTCCTTACCTGGACTGTTGACATCAATACTAAAGTGGAGAATGTACAGAACCACCATAGAGCTTTTCTCTCAAAGTGCATGGTTGTTTTTTCCTTGAGAAAGATACTCAAAAGTGACAAAGACCTGCCTTGACTGAATGTATTGCTATCCAGTTGTGTATCTCTTTTTCCAAAACTAAAGTGTACATGAACACATGTTGTCATTGATTCAGTAATGACCCATCCACACTCTGGCTGCATTTTCAAGCACACCCAGGAAGTCGTTACACTTGCTTTATTCTGTGATAACCTTCACAAAGCCATGATGGAAGCAAGTCTAAACCACAGCACGTGTGACTACAACACCGAGGAAAGCTTTACAACAGTGGGATAGTTTGCCTGGGGATACACACACGCACAAGTTTTAAGAGTCTCCAGTGCTAGGGAAAAGGTTAGACATATCTATCAGGAATGCAAGAGGTAGACAGAAGTTCTTTTTTCAAGACAGAAGTACGGATAAGGATGTCTTGAAACATAGACAGCCCAGAAATGACACAGTCTAACTACTGCTTCTACTTTAATCAAAAGCTAATCTACACTATGAAAGGGCATCACTGCAAATGCCAAGATGAATAAACTTAATCGTATTCCCAAAGCATAATTCTGCTGAGGTTAAACAAAATAGTTTCATGTAGGTTAATACATGATATTTAATCTCTGGCAGACCACAGATTATATTCAGGTTCAGGAGAATGATGGTTTTCTCTACGTGGGCACCTACCATTCCTTCAGCTTTCACTCTTCATCCATGGGCTGATTATTGCTTACACTGGACTAAGGTCCTTATTAGCAAGGATTCGGGTAGCTGGTCCCTTAAAACAGCAATAAAGTCTGACCCCATGTTCAGTCATTCATAGACCAGCACTTCTAAATGTAAAGAGCCCTGACCTAAGCCACAAAGAGCATGTTTTTTTCCCCACAAACACTCCTCTTCTGAGAGTTGTTGCCTTTCTACAGCAATATTGCAACTCCTATTAGCAGTAACAATTTCAGCCTTTATAACAACCATTCAGTCAAGAAAGGCCAGTGAAGAGCTCTGGGCCAAGGGCTGGGGATCTTAAGATGGATCTATTAACAGCATAGCTGAGGTCTCTGCTCCAGGTAATCCCAAAGCAAATCTTTGCAAGCTGGGCAAGTCTCAAGTCCTGCTTCAGAAACATCATTTATGATGAGCAGGTGACCCACCAGCAGGTCAAATTCAGCATCCAGTGCTGGAGAGGCAGCTGTGTTGCATCTTGTCTTTGGGAATAGCAGTCTCTTGTCTGGAAAAAAAAGCAGTGTTCAAAAGAAAGCTCCCGAAGAGTCATGAAAGGATGTAATTTGGTGCTACATTCACCCAACACACAAGCCACCACTGACAGTCTGGTGCCAAAGACAAGGAGAAAGAAAGTCAACTATAGTGGCTTGAGTTGTTCAGGAAGCAGGAAAGTCAAGCCACAGCTAAGTTTGTAGGAAGGCAAGAAGCCAAGACTGCTCTTCGAATCTCAAAGGGGTTAGTGTCTTGGTTTAAAGACAAATACTGGGAGGAGAACTCCAATAAAATGAATTCCCTCCCCTTTTTATTAGCCCCCCCTCCCAATATAGAGAGACAAAAAAATGCAAGGAGGTTTTAAGTGAAAAAATAACAGTTTACTAAAAAGCAAAGATAGCAGCACCACAAAGATACAAAGGAAATGGCTTACCCACAAAAAAAGTTTACCGCATCACGCGGTCCCCCAGGAACAAAGGGGAAAGAGAATGGTGGAGGGTCCTCCCTGCCAACCACCCTGTCCACCCAACCAAACAAAAGAAAACCATAGAAGAACAGGGGCAAAAGCAAAAAAACCAGAACTACGCTGCTCACAGGAGCCACACCACCAAACTGGCCACTCCATCCGATTTAGTTAACTAAACTAAAACTGCAGTGGTGGTACCAGTTCAGAGTCTCCTTGTTCTCTGCCACATGTTACCCCTGATGCAGTGCCTTGGCCCACTTGGCTTGACTGGGCTGTGTAGTGGCAGCAGGGGCTCCGGCACAGGCAGCGATTCCACATGGCAAGTGAACAGCAGCAGTTCCATGTGGCACTCTGGCAGTGGCAGGCCCGGGTGGCACTCTGGCAGCGCTGGTGAGACTGTGGCAGCGTGGCAGCTGGGGCAAGGGTGACCTCTGGGCTGCTTTGATTCCAGCACAACACAGCGAGTCAGTGGCTCCCAGCTTTGCTGCTGTCCCAGCAAGGCAGGGCTCTGGCCACGGCTGAGACCCTGGATCAACTCTTTCCCCGCAGCAAAACATCCCCCCTCCTCAAACACGGCATACCCTCTTCAGATGAGGTAATGGTATGAATATTCACCATAACAGTTAGGAATGGTCTCAATCCCTTTCTCCCTTCAGCTGAGTGTTTCACACAATGCCAAGGGCTTCCAACCAGGCTGTTGGCCCTACACAGTCTAGCCCAGAATGGTTCTTCCTTCAGCTAGCAGGACAGTAATGGATGTCATACACCTTTCACATGCCACAGTGGGGGTGAAAAGGCAGCACACTGTTGGCTCAGGTCTGTGCAGAGACACATGCAGACAGTAAGCATACCACAGAACAGTGTCCCATGTGTGGCTCTTCAAGTCCCTGACACAAGCAGCTTTGTCGCAGTCTCCTCACCAAGCCAATTCTCTATTTGTCAGAGCAACAAAAGTTAAAGCCAAGTGAACTTTACAGAATCACAGAATATGCCAAGTTGGAAGGGACCCACAAGGATCACTGAGTCCAAATCCTGGCCCTGCACAGAACCATGCCCAAGACTCACACCATGTGCCTGAGAGTATTGTCAAAATTCTTCTTGAACTCTGTCAGGCTCGGTGCTGCGACCACTTCCCTGGGGAGCCTGTTCCAGCACTCAACCACCCTCTGGGTGAAGAATCTTTGTCTAATATCTCACTAAACCTCCCCTGACACAACTTCAGGCCATTCCCTTGGGTCCTGTCACTGGTCACCACAGAGAAGAGATCACTGTCTGACCATCCTCTTCCTCTCAGGAGGAAGTTGTAACTGCAATGAGGTCTCCCCTCAGTCTCTTCTTCTCCAGGCTGAAGAGACAGAGTGACCTCAGCCGCTCCTCATACAGCCCTCTCAAGGCCCTTCACCATCTTCACTGCCCTCCTTTGGACACTCTCTAATACCTTAATAACGTTCTCTAATAACTTAGCATCATGCAGGCTGATAAACCCAACATGATCTTGTTGCTCTGTCCAGGAAAATGCAGCAAGACAGTTTGGACCTCTCTATCCAAACAGACAAGCACCTTCTGAGAAAGACAGGTCAGCCTTATGTTTAAAGCTGCATCATCTCCCCAGGTAGATAACAGAACTTTCATGAGCACCAAAGAAATAAGCAGAGCTAAAGTCAACTAAGCTCTTTGTACCACTCCAGAGCACTTCGCTGAGGAAGGATTTGGGAAATTAAAGAAGAGGACACTGCTAGCACTGACCTAAAGAACTGAAGCTAAATACCATTTAATCCCAATGACATGCAGCAGTCAAATAGCCAATGTCTCTGCCCTCTGCATCTTTGCTAGAATTTACACCAAGGTTAACTCTTCATCAATTCACTCCAAGGAGTTCACATCCTTGCAGAGCTTGCCAAGGCTCTGATATCTATTCCAGGTTACAACGGCGATTAAATAAAAATATTTCTAGTAAATATTTAGGGCATAAGGTGAAAAGGAAAACTTGTTCTTGCTAGCCCTGGATGTTAGAGAAAAAAAGAACATCCCAGCAGTGACCTTAAGAGCTTGTGAACAACCAAAGCTGGTGCTTCTGAAGTATGGGTTCATGCAGGACTGGTACAAACAAGCTGAAGGAGTGGTTTACTTCAGCCTCAGATTTCTCTCCAGTATGCTGGAAGCAATGGGCTCAATGCATGACACAGTTTCCTGGCTCATCTACTTAAGAGGAAACTTAGCTGCATGTGAGGACAAGATCTCAAACAGTCTGCAACATGGAAGGACTGAGGAGACCTCCATGAAAACAGTGCTACTCAAACCAAGCTAGCCTGAGTTTCACCAGAGTTTCACAGTGCCCAGTGATCCTCAAAGGGAGATCTGCATTTGCTCAAAAGCTTTGCTATGCAAATACTTCCTCTGATACTCTCATTTTTGAAACTGTACAGGAAAAACTGCCTGCCACCAGTCTGCTTACTGACAGACTTTCACTTTGCATTCTCTTCACATCAATAGCTCTACATTAAGGACTTGGAAGTCCTGCCTATACCAGGTGTACCCAATTTCACAGCCTCACTGACTTTCAGAACTCACAGCTAGGGGAGTCACACATGCAGTGCACAGAACCAAGACAAGGTTTAATCGGCAGCAGCTAGATAAGGAGACATGACTGCTGCTGGCTACGAGGAAAAAGCCTTGTATATAGCTAACTACAATCACTTACTGCAAAATTTTTCAGTCCACACCTCAAACAAATTAGCAGAAATTAGCTGCCTTATGTGCTTTTTGCAGCTAGATAAGAAGGCCCAGGTGTCAGCATCATCAGATCTCTGTTGTGATCACTGAACAGACAGACCTAGAGGTCATCATCTCACCTCCAAAGGTCACTGACACAAAGCAGACACAGATTTAAAGGAATCAGACTTATGCCAAGGCTTTGCAATCACTTTCATCAGCTGTTTACACTGAGAAACCAACTTTTGCATAAAAGTGTCAGAGGGATACGTGAGTTATCTTCCAGCAGCTCTACTAAAGGAGAAGTTTGCTACAGAAAAGAGACAGGGCAGTTAGCTGTGGAGTAACATTTTAAATAGCTTCAGCAAAATCTTCCTGATACTTGTGCCCTGCAGGAACATCTGTTCCACCAACAAGGCAAAACAAAACACATCTTTAGAATGCACAGCCACGGAGTACTCCAGCTTAGTTCCTTGCCTTACGTTGTTTCACTGCAAGGCTTTACACTAAAGCAAAAATTTCTCCAAGTCCTTCAGGAGACAGAGCAATATTCTTTCATATGCCATAGTATGTCCCAAAAGAAGCTTGGATAAGACACAGGAAGCAGCCTCAGGTTCCTCTGGGAGTTATGCAGACAGGGTTTCCTCCCTTTTTAGGGAACTGCAGCCCCTTTCTTCTGCCACCAAAAACCAATCTCGCTCTGGCAAGATCTTTGGATACCTCTCACTG